TTTGAGTCACTTAACCACTTAAGTCACTTAAGTGGGTCCCACATGTCACTTGACTTTCTTAAATCACCTCATTTAACCCACAAATTCATAACCTACGTATTTTCTCGTTCACGTCATATTTTTATTTCCTAAAAATACTTTTCATAATTTCGCGCTTAACGGTACAATTATACTGCAGTATTTTACACCGAAAAAGTCATTTTTCATCAAATTTTCTGAAACTTGCCTATCCACTGGATTTTTCGTCCTGAATCCATTTTCGGCATTATTTTTGTCATTTGAGATCTTCTACTCAATTTTTTCATGCCTAGGGATATGTGTTTGGTAAATTACCATTTTGCCCTTGTACGTATTTTGGCCCTAATGTCAGAATTTTCACTAATCCTTCCCTTTCAATTCACATTATCATATATAATCATACATTTAAAAATATGAGGTTTTATAATCCCCATATCTTTCATATCGAATTTACTTTTAAGTAATTGTGTACTAGCTTTAATCATTTGATTATTACTACCCATGATCAATATGTCGTCTACATAAAGACAGACAATGGAAAATCCTTTTCAGTATTTCGAACATAGACACATTTGTCACATTCATTTATTCGAAACCCATTTGATAACATAACTTTGTCAAATTTCGCATGCCATTGTTTTGGAGCTTGTTTTAACCCGTAAAGGGATTTTATTAAGCGACAAACTTTCCGTTCTTGTCCTGGAACAACGAAACCTTCAGGTTGTTCTAAATATATCTCTTCTTCCAGGTCACCGTTTAAGAAGGCGGTTTTAACATCCATTTGATGAATTTCTAATCCATTCAATGCAGCTACCGCGATCAACATCCTGATGGATGTGATCCTTGTAATAGGTGAATAAGTATCGAAATAGTCGAGACCTTCACGTTGCATGTAGCCTTTTACCACAAGCCTAGCTTTATATTTATCAATAGTGCCATTTTCTTTCAATTTTTTTGAATACCCACTTACTTCCTAAAGGCTTATTGCCAGAAGGAAGGTTTACCAAATCCCAATTGTGGTTGGACAAGATAGACTCTATCTCACTATTAATAGTCTCTTTCCAGAATGGTCCTTCTGGGGACGTTATAGTTTCCTTATATATCTGAGGCTCATTTTCTAATAAATACGTCATAAAATCAGGTCTAAAGGATGAGGCTGTCCTTTGCCTCTTGCTACGTCTAGGTTCATCTTCTACATCCTCTACAGGATCAATATTAGTTGTAGCATCCCGAGGTATCATAATGTGGTCATCATTATTACCACTTGATTCATGTACTTTATTATACGGAAATATGTCTTCAAAGAACGTAATTTCCCTTGACTCTATAACCGTATTAACGTGTATATCTGAGACATCAGATTTATAAACTAGAAATCGATAGGCACTATTATTAAGTGCATAACCGATGAAAACACAATCCACGGTTTTAGATCCGATTTTCAACCTTTTAGGTTTAGGAACCGCAACCTTAACCAAGCCCCCCCCCCACACTCTAAAGTATTTCAAGGATGGTTTCTTTCCTTTCCATATGTCGTATGGTATGTTGTTTGTCTTTTTGTGAGGCATTCTATTAATAATGTAATTAGCCGTCAAAATGGCTTCCCCCCCATAAATTTTGTGGTAAACTGGACGTAATTAACATAACATTCATCATTTCTTTCAATGTTTGATTTTTCCTTTCTGTAATCCCATTTGATTGCGGTGAATATGGAGGTGTTTCCTGGTGTATGATACTAGACTCTATACAGAATTCCTCGAAGGGGCCATCGTATTCTCCCCCACGATCGCTCCTTACCATTTTAATTTTATTGTTAAGTTGATTTTCAACTTCACTTTTATATTGCTTAAAAGCAATAATAGCTTCATCTTTACTATTAAGTAAGTACACATAACAATACCTACTGCAATCATCAATAAATGTAATAAAGTATTTTTTATTACCCCTAGATGGTGTAGATTTCATGTCACATATATCAGTATATATTAAATCTAACAACTCAGTTGATCTTTCAATCGATTTAAAAGGTAATTTTGAAAATTTTGATTCAACACATACTTGACACTTTTTATTAATACATTCAAATTTAGATAGTAAATCTAAATGACTTAAATTCTTAATTGATTTTAAATTAACGTATCCTAATCTATTATGCCATAAATTAGAAGACTCAAGCAAGTAAACAGAAGTAGTAGTGTTATTAATATTATTGGAATTGTTTACAGTCATCACATTCAGTTTGAAAAGGCCCTCACTAAGGTAACCCTTTCCTACATACACATCATTCTTAGTACGTACAAACTTATCAGAAGCAAATACAAGTTTAAAGTCATTCTTGCTTAACAGAGATCCAGAAACTAGGTTCTTGCGAATATCAGGCACATGGAGCACATCATTGAGTGTCACTATCTTTCCAGATGTCATCTTTAAAGCCACTTTACCCACACCTTCAACTTTCAAAGTAGATGAGTTACCCATATAAAGCTTCTCATCATTATCAGCAATATCAACCATGTTGGCTTGAGTGGTCTTTTTCTTCTTATTGAACTTTTGTGGCTTCCTCTGATCTTTCTTTTGTTCCTTCTTACAATCCCTTACACGGTGGCCAGGATTCCCACAATTGTAGCAGTTGCCTTTGAACTTTTTGCCCTTTCCTTGCTTAGCATTTCCGTCTTCAGAATATTTCCTCTTCTTTGACTTTGATTCCTCTTCAACTACATTAGCCTTAGAGACCATAGGATTGTTGTCATTCCTCTTATCAGAGATCTTATTATCTTCTTCTATCCTCGATCTCATAATCGGATCTTCAAGTGACAGTTCCTTGCGCTTATGCTTGACATAATTTTTGAAGTCTTTCCAAGAATTCGATAATTTTTCTATGAAAGCAGCAACTTGGAAAGACTCACTGAGAGACATTCCTTCTACATGAATTTCATGCACAATCACTTGAAGTTCCTCAACTTGACTCACGACAGATTTGGAGTCTTGTATCTTGAAGTCCAAGAATCTGCCAACTATGAATTTCTTTAAGGCAGCATCCTCAGTTTTATACTTCTTGTCCAGACTATCCCAAAGTTCCTTACTACTCTTCAGGGTACAGTACACATTATACAATGTGTTGTCTAGACCATTGTGAATATAGTTTCGGCAAAGGAAGTCGGAATGCTTCCATGCATCAATAGCAGCAACCTTATCCTTGTCAGGTTGTTCTCCCTCATCCAACTTAGGAGCATCTTCCTTGAGAAAACGTTCCAGACTCAAAGTTGTCAAATAGAACAACATCTTCTGTTGTCAACGTTTGAAATTAGTCTCATTCAATTTTTCTGGTTGGTCAGCATGCATTGGAACAGAGGCAGTAAGATTTGCAACGTTTGTACTTGCACTAGCCATTTTTGTTATATAAACAGAATCTGAAATTAATCACACATGAATTAATCACACAGTAAATAAAAACAGAAACAATATATAAAATAAGAAACAGAATATACTGATCATAGGTTCAAAACACCAATTTGTCTTAAGATTGTTATTGAAGACAGTGGGTGATATTATATCACTAAGAGGTTTGAACCCATGTAAAAAACAGAAGAGATAAATGATCAGAATTATCACTGTGCAATAATGAAAAAATTAGAACAGACTTACTTGTTTTCAGTAGTATGGAACAGACAGATGAAGAATGAATGCAGAATTAGGAATTAAATCCGAGCCCACAGAACGTGTCTCCTTAAGACAATTTGCCCCCTCACTGATGCCAAATGTTTTTGGACACTTGTCTCCCAAGATAGAATGGATTTCGTTTGAAGAGTGGCGGCACTACCAGTCAACAGCCCAAACGAACGCAACAATATGCCTGAGGGATTACACCGGAGGAAGAACAAAAATATGCAAAACCGGAGGAAGGAAAAATCCGGCAGAGTTTCAGTGCCAAAATCGGATCGAATTTCTGCGGGTCAGTGTCTATTTATAAATACTGACCGGTCACGATGAATCGCCGCCGCCGATGAACCGCCGTGACTTACGGTCGCGAACGGAGACTGGTTCGACGAACGGGTACAACCAGTGACTGGTCCGGTGAGCAGACACAACCGGTGACCGGTTCTCGAAAGGTAAGAATCGGTTCAGTTCAAAAATGCTCAAAAAACCGGCGGGTATAAATGTTTGGGTTTGAGAATTGGAGGGAGGCAACGAATAGTCATAGGAGCATTTTGGACAAAAAATTAAAAAATTATTTAATAAAAAAATATTTTTAATTTAACACATCGAATCGAACCGGACGGCAACGCGCGCGCGTGGTGGACCTAAGCTCACCTAGCTCCTCTCCCTCCACAAAATGTGTAGTGACTCAAGGCACAATTTAGGAGGAGAGAGCTTATAAACTCATCCACCTCCTACTAGTTGTCCAATGTGAGACTTTTTAAACCCACACACCCCTTCAACTTCTCTTCTCTCTTTTCTTCCTTAATTCACTTCTTATTCATAACCAATAGATTGTCTTCATAAATTCCAACAAGAAAAGATAGACGAAAGGGGATGAATAAATCAACTTACCAATAATGAAAATATTCAACAATCTTTTTTTTATTTTATTTTTATACAATGAAAACATTGTTTAATGACTTTAATCTAGTATGAAAGTGATGCGTACGCGCATATGGCAATTGTCATTTGTCAAAGTCACTGAAGAGAAGTGAAATCTTTCAAAAAAAAAAAAAGTCACTGAAGTGAATTTGGGGTTTGACGGGAACTACCACAAAAACGAGGGGATAACGAATATGGTGGTGTACTATTTTCTTAGCAATTTCAATTATGATGACACTTTAGGAAGTTTCCTGGACCTCTTTCTTGGACCCTTTTTCAGCTTAAATTCGCATGGTTTGAATTTGACCAATATTTAATAATTGTTGTTTTTCTTAGTTCTTCAACTCAAAGGCGCTCTGCTCTCTCTCTCCCTCTGCATTCCCATCTTTGCACACTCTGATTCAATTTTTTTTCTATATTCTCTTCTTTGCTCATCATCATGCTTCATTTACGGTTGTTTCGCCTTTGCTCTATTCACGCCAGATCTAACCAAGCTCCCATTCTGCAAGAAACCTACAAGGTGTTTTGTAAAATCCCGAACGTCACTTTTTTTTTTTTTTTCTGCATAATTTTTGTCACTTTTTTATGCGTTTGACTGTAATATCTTATTTAATTTTCCCTCCTTACAACAAGGTTCAAATACTTTCTTTCAGGGGTATAAAGCGACTGGCTTTCGCTCATTATCTACAGGTGTGTTGAATTTCATCTTAATTATTTATTTATTTATTTTTGTCGTTTTTAATTTGCTTTACATTTGAATTACCATCAACGTCATCGAGAGAGGATTACGATTGTTTTTATATTATTGCAAAATCATTATTTTCAAATGAATACATGGACGTAAATAATGTTATGTAGCAGACTAGTTATATTGTTAAATTTAAGGAAATTACGCGTGCAACACCGATAACGTTTATTTAGTGGTATTAGTCAAATAATTCACATTAATATGCATAGGGTGTTTACAAATCGAAAACTATCACAATTTTTGAAGTAGTGTAGTAGACTTATTTTCAAAATCATTAATATTCTTTTCACAATTTCTTTCTTTTGCCTAAAGTAATATGAAATAATTGAAGTAGTAGACTAGTTCTATTGTTAAATTTATGGAAATTGCGAATGCAACTCCTACAAACGTTTATATAGTAGTATTAGAGTAAAACAATTCATACTAATGTTTATTTTTTATGATATTTTGTGCTCTATTGATGTGTATAGTTCTAGACAAATGGAAAACTATCACACAACTTAAGATTTAAGTTAAAATTGGCAATCACAATCTACTTGCTTTCTACCAATTTCACACTACACTTTATGAGAAAAAATTTCATATTTATGTTTGAAACTACAATCACAACTACTTACAACTTTAAAGGCTAAACATGACCTTGACCTTAAATTTCTTGCAAAATAACATATTTTTAGGGAAAACCCATTTTCCATTTTCCAATTTATTTTCTGAAACGCAGGGACATCCTCTTTCTTTCTCTCTGTGTGTAGATTCAGTGAAAATGGATTCAAAACAGATTCTGGAAAACGAAAGTCCCGTTTCATACCAGAACGTCATCGTGATGAGGCACGGCGACCGCATGGATAACTTCGAGCCCTTGTGGGCATCCACGGCGGCGCGGCCGTGGGATCCGCCCCTGGCCCAAGCGGGTCGGATTCGGGCTTTCCAAACGGGTCGAAGGCTGCGACAGAGTCTCGGGTTCCCGATCCATAGGGTCTTTGTGTCCCCCTTCCTCCGCTGCGTTCAGACCGCCGCCGGAGTCGTCGTCGCTCTCTCCGCCATCGACGACGGTCCCGGCACTGCCACTGGCGACGGCGTTCCAATCGACGCTTCAAAAGTCAAGGTCAGAAATCAGTTGATTACTAACTCTTGTTAACTATTAATCAGACAATGATGTTTTGTTGAAAATGGTAATTATTAGTTTAAAAAAAAAATTAATATCTCTCATGTTAAGTCGTAGGAGATATTTTTATGTGTCTGGCAATATTTTCTTTTGTTCTGCTTTTCTTCTCATATGTTCCACATATTTTTTTCGTATATAGGAAATGTTTTATTTCTGCCAAATATCATATCTTAAAAAAAATCATAAACTAAAGTTACTGTTTTTTTTTTTTTTTTTGGGTTGAAATTCTATTTAAACTGATATTCTAGTTATTCATATTCAGTGGGTTATTAGATAAATAGATGAATAAAATCCAGATTTTGATTGGAGTTTTAATATTTATAGATTTTACATGAGATATGTTGCTAACTTGCTAAACATTCAAAGAGGCTTGATATTCTAGTTAATTTGATATTTCTTGTCATCCTTTCTCTTGAATAGTTACAATTTTGTTTTGCGATAAATCAGCGACGGGTTTTTAGATAGATGAAGAAACTAGATATTTTTATAGGAATTTTACTATAAATAGATTTAGCAGTGATTTGTTAATATACACTGTCACACTCACTGTTTGATTTTAATCTACAAGGAGTGGTTGAAGGGTACCAAAGATAATAGTATTTCTAACCTAGGTTAGTGGTGGAAACTGTTAGGGGTGTGTAAAAGAAACAAAAAAACTGAACTAAATTGCGAAGTGAACCAAATTGTTTTTAATATAATTGATTTTTGAAAACAAGTTCAAGAATCAAACAGTTTTATCTCTTTATTTCTTTAATTTTTCTTTTCTTTTCAGAATAAATTCGACCCAAACTGGTTTCAAATCGAATCGAATCGGTTTCGAACCGAACTGAACCGTTTTCAAATCAAATCGAACCTGTTTCCAATCGAACTGAACCGTTTAAACTAATTTGGTTCAATTCTTCAAAAAATTCAGTTCAATTCAATTCATGCACACCTCTAAAAGCTGTGTAGTGTCACTTGAATTATGACCCTTGGGCAAAATGGTTTGGTTTTATTTATAGCGTTGTAGACTTTTTGGATCAGTTCAGTGTTGCTTTAAAAATGGGGTAAACTAATCAAATTGACTCTTAGGAATGAAACTCTAATATGGTATGCGTATTGTTGGCCTTGCTAACATTTATACAAGAATTGCGCAAGTATACGCAGCCACAAGTAATATAGTGTCTATAAGTCCTGGTTATTGTTCCCACAAAGATCTTTTGGCGAAAATTTCAAAAACACAAAGTGCAATTGCTTAAACTGAAATTCTGAAAAGAAACATAAAAGCAAAACTAATCTAAAATAGCACTGACCACGTTACTCTATTTTTTAGAATTTTCTGAATTAATTTCTTGAACTAAAAGATGAAAAATAGTAGGAAAGCAATTCAAGTATCTGATGTAAAATGATTTTTATATAAGAAAAAATGTAAAACAGAATCATGATTAAAAATTTAAAAATCAAAGGAGAAGAAAAGTGAGTTGGTGAAAATGTTTAGAAAAATAGGTTGGGCTTTGGTTTACCTTTCTTACAGCATTGGATTGACTGCTAATTATAGATTGCTTGATTTTTAATTCACATTTAACAGATCACTCTTGTTGATTTTAATCTCTTAAAATCATTTTATCCCAAACCTTCATTTACACATCTCTGCGCTAAATGATGTAAGGACTCGTGCATTTCAAGTCCAAAGTTACATGGTGGTTGCCTCATCTCTAAGTGACAGCTCTTGAATAATCTCTTATTCAAGTTCATGTGCTTAATGCATTTCCAGAATTAGTCACCTCTCGATGACTTCTTCCTAACACAACATCTATCATCAGGCCTCAATGATAGAATATTTAAATACAAAGCATGGCATTAAACAAATGAGAATAAAAAATTAACAAAAGTAATTAACAATCAACCATCACTGAGGTTTGACCCAACCTTCAAAGGTTTAGCTCATACCCATAAGAGTTCAGCTACAAACAGCAAACAAAATTCAAAAGGAAATTACAACTAACAACCGGAAATTACGAGGCAGAAGCTATATCCAAAAAATAGCTCTGCTACAGTGCTCAGAAAAATTACAAAGAAAAAATAAAAATCTCAAGATCAGAACAGACACAATGAGAAAATTAAAAGACGAAGAGAAAAAAAAATGCCTACAATGCTTTTCTCCTCTCCTTTATAGTTGATGCTCCCACATGCAGAGACGATTCACACCTCAGCTAGCACGTGTGCTACACGCTCTTCCCAATCATGCGATTCCTTTGCAAAGGCAGTAACAGCACTCCAAAAATTGCTTCAGCCAACACTCCTAACAAACTCCAGCTCACCCAATCAGTTACGGGTAGTGTTTGGCATTTTCTGTTTCAATCAAAATGGCTAGGGTCAGTGTTTTGGTTGAATCGCTCACTTAAGGGACTATGGGTGAGGGCTAAGGCTCGATGGATACCAAGATTAAAGACTCGGTGTGGCTTGGTGGTTTGGTTGTAAAAAGAAATCAAGAGTGGAAAGCTTGGGGTTATGGTTAGATGGGAGTGGGTTGGTTCACAGAGTGAGGGTTAGGGTTCGCAAGTCTCAGACTTTGTTTTCACGCTGCTGTGTCTTTCTTTCTTCCTTCTTTCTTTTCTTTTTCTTTCTTCAACTGGGCTCTTTTGCCTTGCCTTACAAAATCCAGCCCACTTCTTTTCTTCTTATCTTTTCTCTTCTTTTCTTTCTTCCTTCTTTGCTTTGGAAAGTATTAAGACGTGGGCCTGAAAACAAAATGAAGCCCATTAGCACTTAAATCAATAACCCTTCAACTCAATGTAATTGGGGTATCTATTAACATAAGGAGTATTATTTTTTTACATTTTCATATAAGAAACCATATGTTTTAAGTCTCATTTCATGGACTTATCACGTATTTGATGATCTTATTGACTTACAAATACTGATCGCTTGTGTAAATGACTCAGCCTTTTAAGATGCGAAAAATCCTCTCCCTCACTTCCACAATTGCAGGTCTCTGTTGAGTATGGATTATGTGAAATGATGAACAGGGAAGCTATCCGTCTCGATGTTGCCCCTAAAGATGGAAATTGGGGTTTTGATATATCAGAGCGTGAAGCCATGCTCCCAGCTGGGACAGTGGATAATAACGTAGCAAGGGTATATAAAGAGGTATAGAGGACTTTATATTAATTTTATTGTGAAAATATGCATGCAAACATTATATTGGAGCTGATGAAAACTATTTTTGCGGGATAAACTTCAGTTGCCACTGTGGGAAGAGCCAGTTTTGCAAACAAGGGCTAGATATCAGCAAATAATTAAGGACCTTGCAGATAAATATCCTAATGAGAACTTGCTGCTTGTTACACATGGTAAAAAATTCAATTCCTTGTCCGTTTAACTGTTAAAGAGATCCTTTTTGGTGTAGATATCTTTATATCGCCAATGAGGATTAGCATACCTGGTCAAATCTTATGCCCACGCTAGTTGTGACTTGGGTTTGATTCTCTAGTTTCTTTCTTTAGTAAATGATTTGTTATTTCATTATAAATCCTGGTTGAGGTTGGTGATTTTCCATGGTTGCAAAGGGGCATACCTTCCCCTAATCTAAACTTTTTTTCTAATAAAAAAGATATCTTTGTATCTGAAAAGGCACCCTGTAACAATGATGTTGGGTGCTACCCTTTTCCTCCTTGGTTGCACGAATAGATGGGGAAAAAAAATTAAAATAAAACAACCAAGAACATGAAATTGTTTGTTAGACAAATGGAGAAGCTGCCTTCTATTTGAAGTGTTCAATAGAGTTTTCCCAAGTTGAATTGTAATTGAAATGAACCTTTGCAGGGGAAGGAGTTGGGGTGGCTCTTTCTTCATTCAAAAAGAATGCTGCGGTAAATGAAGTGCAGTACTGTGCATATGTTGAACTTAGACGTCCTATTGTCAAGAAAGAGGACTCAGTTACTGCTGGAGAGTTCGATGTACTCACTCAAAGTGGTCAAACTGGTGTAATCTATTTCCTCCCACGTCCTTTGAGCAATGACATTAATCAAACTTCATCATGACCAAGCAGCATATACAAAGGTATCAGAGAGTGACGAGAACTAGAGAGGAATTGTGGAGTGAAAGATCAGAATGATGTGTAATGAATTGAACTGAATTGTTTAAAATTGAGTGCAGCATATATATACACTGTGATCTGTTACAATTACTAATCACATAACAAATAGCTAATAATATGGGCTAACTGAAGTGTATCTAAGTGGAGGAATTCATGAACTCAATACTTTTAAGATTTTAGATTGTGGCATGGTATTGGATCTACTTGATATGATTGGTTTAGTTTAATCCATTGGTGGTTATCTTATGCCATGGTCTCCATCGTGACTCTATTATATTTTATGTTCTGTAGTTTCCAGCAAATTGAGAGGAAGGAATGGGCATCACTTTGTGTCTCGGCCGAAATTCCTCTTCTTTGTCCCTGGCCCCACACATTCCCATGCTTTATTTAATAACATAACACAAAACAATAATCCTGTCAAGTTCAACCTATCTCATTACCTAAAATGATGATTGCAAAGTCTCAATATAGAGCACATTTCAGTGTTACGAGACTATCTACTACGGAAAAAAAAGGAGTTACAGGTAAAAATAACCACCGTAAAGGTAAGGGTAGTATTAATGGGTTGTTTTTTGTCATATTTGACACACACACAAAAAGTACCTAATGCTTAGTACTCTCGTAACACTGAAAATATTTTCCTTGGCTCTCGTTACCGGAACTTATCACACAATTTAATCTAGCACTTCACATGCACATGTAAATGATTGAACACCTGATCTTCAAGACATTCACTTTAAAAGCATGTCTCCTTTTTTCCTCACGAAGATCATTCCCTCAAACATTGAAATTTATCTCTTACAGAAGTATTGATACTTCATATCGAGATCCTTAATCCTTTAGACAGGCAACCCCATCATTCCCCATCACTAGGGTGTAAATGGGCCCGACTGGCCTGGTCCGGCCTACAGCTTGACCTATATTTGGCCTGGCCTAACCTAGTCTTTCTGAAAAATAGAGTGTGCTTACATTTATAGGAAAGCTTTTTAACAAATAGACTATAGGCCAATTTTATCAAGCCTGACCTAAAGCCTTGTAAGCTGGTCTATTTAATTTTTAAAAATAATATAATATATTTTAAAATAATTTTTTAAAGTAATTATATTTCCTTCTTATTTTCCCCATTTCTTAGACTCTATTCCTTTCTGCTATACATTCTAAAGCTGCGGTATTATATTGACTCTTTCTTGTTTGTCATTTTTTATTTCTTATGAGAAATGTAAATGTATGCATGAATGGAACTTCATTTGCTCTGTACAATTATTTTCCTTGCTTAGTATCTTCATTTGGAGGCCTATAAGGTCTGTAGACCATATCAGACTTTATAATTTTTAATAATAGGTCAGACTTGACTTATAAACGAAGCTTTTAATAGGTCAATAGATCAGATAGGCTGACTTAAGTCAGGAAAGCAAAAGTCTGGCCTCACCTGGCCCATTTACACCTCTACCCATCACTGATTGTACACTTAAGCTCTGCGGATACACTTCAAAGAACAATTCCAGAAACTTAGAACCGGAGATGGCTTTTGTTAGACCATGTTGATCAAGAGAGGGGGCATGAATCATGATGAATGGAAATAGCCTTAACTGACACCTCTTCTTGGACAAAGAGAAAGCCAAGCTCAAAATGCTTCATCCTGGAGTGAAACAAGGGATTGGCGGATAGAAGAAATGCATTGAGATAATCACACTAAATTGTGAAAACAGTGGTGGGAACAGAAACTGCGAATTCAGATAGCTAATATTTGACCAATAACCAAACAGGGAGATCTTTCTTTTACGTTGTAGGGAAAAAAAAAATATCTCGTGAAATAAAAACAAAATTATAAATGAGATCCACAGATAATGAAACCGAAGCTATTGACAGTAGCTTCTACCCCTGAATATTGAAGCCAAGCATTAACCGTGATAATATTTACTGGCTTTAAAAGGACAGTCCAAGTATCCAATAACATCGTATGATTCCCAGCTCCAAGTCTCCTATTTTATGTTACTAGTCTCAACACTTCAGACATCAACGTTGATAGAAAAAAAAGAATACAGATAGGCCTCATAGACATTAGGTGTTGTCAATGTCACATTTGCAATAGCCAATAATGCATGATAACCTTCAAGCATTTGTTTTGTTTTGTTAGCTTTTGTAATAACATACTTGAATTGCCTTATGTGTTGTTTTGTCAACTGATTTTAGAAAGCTGATTGCCAACTTCTAGAAATCAATCATCTCCAAGGGAAAGAGTCTGTTTTGGTTTCACTGACCTTCATATGCTTTGAGACCTATGCATAGGTATCTCCATGCAATCGGAGTTTTACTTGCAGAATAATGGCTAGTGAGACAGAGAAGAAATTTATCATAGAGCTCTCCAAAAATTGATATATGAAATTATGAATTAGATGTGGTTATACTGTCCATTGTTATTCTTTGAAACTGCTTTAAGATAAGAAAAATGCATCATATCAGCAAATCAATTGGATGAAATAATGGTACCACTGCTGTAATGGCAGGAGAAACAACATTTTCTCTTTTGTTGAAGAGGCCGAGTCAGATTAAAATTCAGGAAATAATGGTAACTTAACTCTATGTGAGTAACCCCAAAAAACAATGTGAAAGACTCAATTTAATGAAAAATGAAGTAAATAACGGACAACATAATGGATTACAAGTTGCACGCTCCAGACTGCTAGGTAAAAACAGAGAAAATCCATCAGTTGGATGTAGTGTTTCTATCAAGTCTATGATTGTTGAGTGTTGGGCATGAAACCTTCGACCCTTGAAACCATCTCATCAATGTTTATAATTGTTGCCTCCACCGCGAAATCAAACCACCAAATAACAGCTTACGACATGACTGAGCCTTTTGTCATGGATTATCCACATTCCTACCCAAATAAATATGCTATTTTACTTCAGAGAAGACCTGCAAGGAATTAAAAATCCATGAAGTTTGATATATAAAAAGAAAATGAAAATTAATCTCAGCTGGCCGAAGACGGCTTAGTTGTCCTAATAAAAGAATTTATGAAGTAATGTAGATTTTTTCTAGAAGGAAATAAAAAGTAGTACAGTAATCTGCCTGTAGCACACTAATGACTGTGTATGGAATGGATTATGATTTATAGGCATGTCTCAATTATATACAAATCTCTTAATGATTGTTGCATTTGCACACCCAAAGGTGCCAAAATGCATCGACATACTAAAGCATATTCAAATTCCCCAAGATTCAAAGAAAGCTATTCATCTCCCTAATCCCCCAAAAATAAAATTAGTGGAAGCTAGTCTCCATCCTAACTAATCCCTATTATATTAAATTTCAAGGGTCTTGCTAGCCACTGCCCTCAGGGCACTAGTTAGAAAGCATTTAACACTCTTCATTAAGTCCTTTTAATTACTTAAAGAAGAGATGTATTCATTGCTTTTTCTTGAGTTTTCTAGGTATTTAATGCGTGCTTCTACTTCTCATTTAATACTTTCTACTTTAATCCCATAACCAGTGACTTTAGGATACGTTAGCAAATTCAAAATTTTAAAACAGTAGCAGAAACGCCAACTTTTATTTTTCTCCCCTTCCAAACTCTCAAGGGTGGTAAACACAATATTTTAAAACATAAGCAGAAAGTGTATTTTACACTATTCAGAGGCAGATTAAGGTCAATATTTTATTTCTTCAACCAGATGATTGTCGGATTGGCATGAAAACATGTAAAAAGAAGATTGCAGCTATATTTTCATTATAAAAATTGAAAACAAATATGTGCTTACTTATTCTGCGTACGCGGAGGTAATCCAAGTTTTGCTCTTAAATTTGCACCTGCTTCCAAGAGATCTTCCACCTATATTCAATAACATAAAGTGCACGAGAAATTGAGAATAGTCATGTCTGCGTAAAAAGCATCTGAGAATGATCTAGAGCGGACATTTTACTTTACTGAAAACCAACACCAAGATAAGCAGATCCCACAGTCAAGTTTGAAAATTATAAATACTTCTCTTGACATTTATAAGAACTAGACATTCCAATTGTCATTTTCCCATCTTCTATCCAACTCCAACAACAAAACAATCTTCAAAATAAGAAACAGTAAACACTATGAAATGCCCTATAATCAGACTTCCAATTTAACTTCTTTCATATCAATGATAACCATCTGCAGTATCTTCCATTACAAACATCCAAGGAACAAGTTACGAGTTATGAACTTACTATACTTTAGGTGTCCAAAGAAGGTATCAATTACAAATACAAAGGTTATTGTACAACATAGGGTTTTCACCCAATAAAATGAAAATAGAAGCATGACTTTGAAGCAAAAAAGGTAAAAAAAGATATAGCATCATATTTCTGTAATAACATGAAAGTTGCTATACAAATAAAAAAAGGGCTTATCGTTTCTCCATCAACTTGAGAAAAAGTTATCTCCATCAACCCCAAAACTACGTCGTTTTGGGGATTGGGGAAATTAATGAAAGGTGTTTTAGTAAAATTTTGATAGGTACCAAACAGAATAGAAAGGAAATATGAACAATGTCTCAGAATAGTAAAAGGTATGGATACAGTGATGGAAATTCAAGAAAATACAAGGAAATAGAAAGGTAAAATAGTTGTAGAGCACTTAGAGAAGCTCTAGTCTCCCAATCCCAACCCAAGCCTAAGATTCCAGATGATCAGAATCAATCCCTATTCCCTTACTTATCTAGCACTCTTCCCGCCACTTCCAAACCTAACAGAATTCAGTTTACCAGCTTCATGAATATTCCTTGCTAACAAGCTTCTTGCTGACTCACCAGAAGCTTCTAGCCTTTTATATTTCTTATGAGTGTACACTTTAAGAGGTGGATTCGTATCAAATTCATATAACAAAACACAAGCAAAATTCTTAAAATAACCTTCATAAATTCCCCCAGTCTCCAAAATGACGTAGTTTTGAGGTTGACACGGAGATAATTATATCTCAAGTTGATGGAAAAACAATAAACCCATACAAAAAATACAATAACAATAACAATAACAAAAAATAAAAAGAGAGAGAGAGAGAGAGGAAAGATCGGATGAAGAATTAATCAACCAAATAAGAATTCAAATTTAGTTTATATTATAAGAAAGCAATTAATTGATACTAGTAAAGTAGTTGTAACAGAGAACTATGAAATAAACCAAAAAACAATGAGCTCAAAGGTTACGGTTAATGATCACCAACAAACAATTTTATAAACTTTTATCAAATGCACAACTTGGCTTGTGAGTACTGAATTTATTAGATTCAAGTGTTATAAACATTAAGCAAACCAAACAGATGCAATGAGAAATCTCTGAAGATCAGATTTGGCTCGACGAAAGTGTGTGGAACACTTAAGAAAGCAAAACACAAGTAGGGTCACTCTCTCGCTGACTACAAAATCGAGACAGTGAGTTACTACGAACCCACAGATTGTGCCTCTACTTTATATAAGTCTGAACAGTTGGTCTTTTCTCACTACAATGACGCAATTCATACTTTACTCTCTAAAGTGCACCATTCATTTTGAAGGATCCTTCTGTGTGAAAAGCATAAGGATTTGATAGTCATGACATTGCAAGCCCACCTTAAAAACATTTTCTACCTTTCATCAACTGAATTCAACCCTCTCAGATTAAACTGCTTCACATCAATTTTTTTTTTTTTAATTTCCTACAAAAATTCATCAATACCTTCTCAATTATGGGATAAACATAATCCTGGTTGACATACTTCATCTTGATCTCAGTAGTAGATTTGCGTGTGGTGGTGAGTGTGGATATCCTCACTATTTGTCAGTACTAGCTACACACGCTGAACATGCCCAACACCCTCGTAATACTTTCATATTAAAAGTACAAAATGGAAAAACTTGCTTTGACTTCATGTATTTTACATCTACACAGTATTCATGTCAAGAAACACTTCGACCAATCTAAAATACCAAGGATAGCATCTCGGTGCTTCTTTCTCCCTCATTTAAAAATGCCAGGAATAAAAAAAACTGCAATATATCCTACATTATTATTCTATATAGAGATTCAATAAGAATTAATTGGCCAGTTGATCACACATAAAATTACAGTCATAATGATAGCTCTGTTCACTTGAAATATTTCTTGTTCACTGTTTTAACCACATGAATTTTGTACAAAAAGATAAACAATTGTTTAAATTGACCTCAACTTTTCAACTTGTTACCAGAATATTTTCAACTAAGCCAACAATAACCATCTTGTTCATTTTACACTGTTAACTAATCATCATTTGTCAATAATTTTACAATTGATGATACTAGAGAATTAAACAATTAATCAAGAGCTGGAAGGAATGGATATCAGAACTAAGACTTCCATGGAAGCCATGACGAACAATGCACCATCATGATGTACTCACTACAAGCAAAAAATGACCAACACCAAACATTAGTAATAGATAAAACCACATGTTTGGGAGCACTTTCTGCACTTACAAAATAATTTTTCACTTCAACCATTGATTGTATCAACATAAACAATTACACTAGTAATGATTGTATTAACATAAGCAATTACACTAGTAATTTCTTCCAGTCAACCTCAAAATAACTAGAATACAATAGTTTCTTCCAAATCTAACAGTCTACAGGATTATCATCTTTCTGGCTTAACCTTCCTTGCTAACTTGCATTGCTTAGAAACAGAGCTTTTACTATCACCAGAAACCAATAAGTTATGAACAAGCCAGAAACCGTTTCACAATTCATTCTGCAGGATTACCCGATCACACAAAATAAATTCATCCTCTTTTCTCCACTAAAAACACATTTCATCCACACCCTACTCCAGTCTACAAGCAACAAAAGCTCTTCTGACCTATTAACTCACAATAAGAATTTCATTTCCTAATACAATACTATCAACAACTTATATGACACTTTACGTTGCTCAAATCACATAAACCCAACTATATTTTCTCCCCTGAAACTACATTTTCATCTATACCCATCTTCAGTCTACAAGCAAAAAAAACCCATATATATCATTGCAAATTCAGCTATATGAAATATGAATACCTTCTTTCTAGCTCAACCTTCTCTGCTACCACACAATAAACCCATAAACCACAAAATCACAAACCACCCAAAACCCATTTCACAATTCAGTTTCCACAGACACCTGATCACAGAAACCCATCCCTATTCCTCCACAAAAATAAGAAGGTTGAAAAGGTTTGAAACCCATCCCTTTTCAAACCCTATTGATCCACAACCAGCAAAACCCTTTTCAAACCTCTTTCATACTATATTCACATTACCCAATACACCATTTCCACCCTCAGTCCAGCCAAAAATTGGAAAAAGAAAAAAAAATCTCAATCCATTTCATTGCAAATTCAGCTACAATAATAGTACCTTGTGGATGCCGTTAGCTTGGAGGAGGACGACGGAGGCAGAGGCGGCGCTTCCGATGAAGAGAGAGGCGACGGCAAAGGCTTTCAAAGGCATGAGGCCTGAATCACCTGCATAGCCTTTACGGTAGGAACGAATACCCAATCCCATTTGAGCAATACTGGACACACTCCATACCCATTGACTCCAACCGCCACTAACACTGCCTCCGCCTTCCTCCATCTCCATCATCTCACTGTTACTTACACCAACGATGGCTTCCGTCAAGTTAATCGTATCGGCTCCCAATATATATATATATATATATATATATATATATATATATATATATACGGGAAAGGTGTTTGTCATTTTAAATGACAGAAAATTCACATAAAATTTGAATTTTAAATTAAAAAAAAATCATCCACTTTCTCTCTTCCATGATTTTCATTTTTCTGTGTCTATCTCTCCTAAAATGACATAACTTATGTCATTTAAAATGATAAACATCAAACCCTATATATATATATACATGTATATATAAATCATAACCGTACAAGATCATACAAAGATGGATTAATGGTAATGAAGAAAGAGAGAGAAAAAGGGAATCATAATCAAAGGTGAATCAATTAATATAAAGAAATAAATAAACAAAACGACGTAGTTTTGGGGTGGCCGGAGATAAACTTATCTCAAGTTGCCGGAGAAATATTTTTCCCATATATATATGGGGGAAGGATATCAAGTTGTGTTACTACTAAGTTACTATCAATTAATCTCACCGTTAGATCGATTATGTTGATCCAACGAATTTGACTTAGGTATCAATAGACAAACCAATAAATGATTTTTATATTCGAAGTTATATTTATTTCCATCTTTGTATGGTCATTATTTCCCAAATTTAATACTTTATATTTATTTTCACCTTTGTATGGTTATGATTTTTCCATATTTAATGCTTTCAATTTAAATATGAGGAATCATAACCATACAAAGATAGAAATAAATATAACCGTTGGATCAACATAATCGATCTAACGGTGAGATTGATTGGTAGTAACATGGTAGTAACACAACTTGGTTGTTACAATAGCATTCCCCATAAATATATATATATATATATATATATATATATATATATAGGTAAAATCATTTCTGCAACTGCTTTACGTACAACAACGACAGGTGTATGGTTATGATTTCTCTCATTTAATGCTTTCATCTTTTGTATGGTTATGAATCCCTGCATTGAATGCTTTCACGTATATATATGGGAATTATTTGATTGCTGCACGTTCAGCAGCTGCAGAAATATAAACCTATATATATATATATATATATATATATATATATATATATATATATATATAGGTAGGATCCTTTGACACCGGTGTCAAATTTTAATTTTGACACCTTACCTGAGAGCCCTTAGATAAAAAAAAAAAATCAATGGTGTCACATGCTTAGAAATAAGAGCCGTTGATTTTTCTTAATCTAATGGCTCTTAGATGAGGTGTCAAATTTAAAATTTGACACCGGTGTCAAAAGATCCTACCTCATATATATATAATATATATATATGAGGTAGGATCTTTTGACACCGGTGTCAAATTTGAAGTTTGACACCTCATCCGAGAACTGTTAGATCAAAAAAGATCAATGGTGTCACATGCTTACAAATCAGAGTTGTTGATCTTTTTTGATCTAATGGCTCTCAGATGAGGTGTCAAATTTTAAATTTGACACTGGTGTCAAAGGATCCTACCTCTCTCTATATATATATATATATATATATATATATATATAGGGAACAGATCCACTTATCACCAAAAAAGTTTACAACTCTTACAACCAATTTAATCACTGTTGATTTCTGTCAATATAGCGGTTATTAGGAATTAATAAATGTGACACAATAAATGTTATTAATTTTCAATAAATTATAACGTTAGATTGACGAAAATCAACGGTGATTAAATTGGTTGTAAGAGTTGTAAACTTTTTTGGTGATAATTGGATCCTTCCCTATATATATATGTATGTATATATATATATATATATATATATATATATATATATATATATATACACACACATATATATATATAGAAAAACAACTATCATGTTGCATAGGACAATCCTCTTGTCACGCTATAGAGACAATAAGTGTGGGTCCATCATGTTTAAAATAAAAAGAAAAGGAAAAAAAATGCAGCATATAAATTTATCTCCAGTGAGCTCAAAACGACGTCATTTTATGGTTATGAGATTAAAAAATTATAATAATAAAGACTAATATAACCCTGTAATATATTATAATTAGAAAAATGCCTTGAGCTCACTGGAGATAACTTATCTTTGTTGACTTGAGAGATTCTTTACCCATATATATATATATATATATATATATATATATATATATGAGGAGGTTATATATAAAAATTTTTTATTTATAAACTCTTGCAAACTACATTAAATATGACTGGTCAAACTTCAATCAAGAGTGTATGATCGGTCATACTTAGTGTAATTTGTAAATAAAAGTTTGTAAACATATTCTTCCCTATATATATATATAGCGTTCGCTTTTTCTGCAGTTACTGCAGATAAGTTATTTGCAGTAAGCGCAATACAACGTCGTTTTGGGGCAGAAATCATGATATTTTTATAATTTTAATTTATTTCAGTGTTATAATAATATTTATATTTATAATTTTTTAAGATTTCAATACCAAAACGACGTCATTTTGGAAATAAATGCAGATAACTTATCTGCATTAACTGCAGAATTATTTTTCCCATATATATATATATATATCAAAAAAGATGTTTGTCATCTTAAATGATACAAAGTTATGTCATTTTTAATGAAATTACGTTGTTTTGGTGTATTTTTACATTCTCTCTCCTTTATTTTCTTTTTATTTCTAATTTTATAAATTAGAGAAAATGACAAAACACACCAAAACGACGTTGTTTTATTAAGAATGACATAAAACTGTGTCATCTAAAATGACAAACAGTACATCCATATCTAAAAAGATATATATATATATATATATATTATTTATCGTTTCTCATGCTGTTTGCGATGATTTTATCTCCGGCTATTAAATCATAACCGTACAAAGATGGATTAATGGTGATAAAGGAAGAGAAAGAAAGGGGAAATCATAACCATTCAAAGGTAAATCGATTAATATAATAAAATAAATAAATAAAATGACGTAGTTTTGGAGTGGCCGGAAATAAACTTATCTCAAGTTGCCGGAGAAATGTTTTTCCCATATACATATACAGAAAAATATTTCTGCAGTTAATACAGATAAATTGTCTGCATTTACTTCCAAAACGATGTCGTTTTGAGATTGAAAGATTAAAAAATTATAGTTATAAATACTATAATAACCCTGAAATAAATTAAAATTATAAAAATACTATATTTTTGCCCCAAAACGACGTTGTAATGGGCTTGCTATAGATAATTTATCTGCAGTAACTACAGAAAAAGCGAACCCATATATATATGGCTTTAATGTTTCTACGGAGAATATAGATAAGTTATCTACATTCACTCCAAAAATGACGTCATTTTGGGTTGAAAAATTTAAAAATTATAATGAAAATGACTATTATAATCTCAAAATAAATTATAATTATAAAAATACCTTAATTTTCCCTAAAACGATGTCTTTTTGAGTTTAACGCAGATAACTTATCTACATTATATAGGGTTCACTTTTTCTATAGTCAATGTAGATAACTTATCTACATTGAGCCCAAAACGACGTCGTTTTGAGGCGGAAATCAAGGTATTTTTGTAATTATAATTTATTTCAGGGTTATAATAGTCTTTTTCATTATAATTTTTTAATTTTTCAACCCAAAACGACGTTGTTTTGGGAGCGAATGTAGATAACTTATTTACATTCACTTTAGAAACATTAAAGTCATATATATATATATATATATATATATATATATATATATATATATATATATATATATCTATTTATATATGGCAAAATTATTTCTTCGGTAAATGGAGATAACTTATATTCGGTAAACCTAAAACGACGTCATTTTGATATTGAAAGAAATGTATTTTTATAATTTTAATTTATTTTAGGGTTGTATTAGTCTTTATCATTATAGTTTTTTAATTTTATAATCCCAAAACGATGTCGTTTTGGACTTACTAAAGATAATTTTATTTCCAATGACCACAAAAATACTTTTCCATTATATATATAGGGTTAAATACATTTCCTGTTAGTGCAAAATGACTCTTCTCATGTAGCATAAACAAGAAAATATGTGGAGCCAACATGTAAGTGTAGAGAGACAAAAATGATGGTGGATCCCACCTAAAATTTGAGTCAGCTGCAAAATCTCTCTTCTCCTATTAAACGAGAGATACAAAGTTCATCTATATATATATACTAGTGAATTACCCGTGCGATGCCCGGGGGAAAATGAACAAAATCGTTGTCGCCGTCGTTGGTGTGTCGTCTTACTGGTAAATCCACACGTTGATCTTGATATGAAACTCTTAATAATAATATCATAATAAAAAATAATTGTATTGTTATAATTTTTAACTTGAAAAGGCTGTAGCATTCAGAAAGATAAAAAAGAAAAAGAAAATTTTGTAGGATGAAACGTTTAATTGTATCGAGTAACCTTCACGTCCAATTGCAAAAGTGATAAATATAATAATGTCAATGTAAAAACAATTTAAATGTCATAATGTCAAAACTGCTCACAATTAATAATTCACAAATAACATGATACAATTCAGTGTTCCAGCAAAATATCTCTGACATCAGCCTGCTAACTATAAAAGAAATAAAAACAGTATATGTTAGCATAAGATATGATTTAGCGAATAAAGAACAGAAGAACCGAACAGGTAATTGTCAGAAGTATTATTCAATGTGGTTTTTTGCTTTTGAATTTCAGAATCATATTTCAAAAATACAGTATAAAAATAATCAAAATCCAACGCTAATCAACATTTGAAAAAAATATAACTTAAGGAATGCAGATTTTACCTGTACGAAAGAGCAACGTTATATCCAATCGACTGAAGCAATATAAATTACAGTAATCTCTAAAATACTTCTTTGTAGACTATGTTAAAGGTACTATTTGTTACACAACCATCATCATCAACTATCAAAATCTTCAATCCCTTTTTGCTCTTTACTCGGGATAGTGCCACATATAATTGCCCATGACTAAAGACTGGCCTGGGTAGATAAATTCCAACATGAGAAAGCGATTGTCCTTGACTCTTATTGATTGTCATGGCAAACGAAACGACGAGGGGAAATTGTCTTCTTTGGAAATTTACAGGAAAAGAATGACTTGAGGAGCTCATTGTCATTCTAGGGATTAACATATTTTCTCCTATATTGCTTCCTGTAAGAACAGTTGCCTCAACCACATGATTTCCTAATCTTGTAATAAGCAATCTTGTTCCATTGCATAAACCTCTTGATTGGTCAATATTTCTTAATAGCATGAATGGAACTTTGACCTTCAAAATTAATTTATGATCCGGAAGCCCAGAACAGGAGAAGGTATTTAAGATCTCAGGTGAGAATTCATCATCCTCAAGGGAAGAATTACCGTCTTGCTTCAAAATAATATATCTGAACTTAAATATATTCTTTTGTCACCTGGAATCAAAGACATTAAGTTCTCATTTAAAATAGAAACATCTGCCAATTTTGGAGTCAGAATGGCACGTTCTTTAAAGAATGTGGGTTCTAAAATATGATCCAAGATATTAGGGTACACAAAATCCATCAAATCTGAAAGTGGATTCAGTGATTTTTTAATCAATAATTCATCTGGAATTGTTATAATAGATTCTCCATCCACATCATCTCCAAGAACACCATCCCCGACTTTAAGAAGCTAATCAGAAAATTCCTTTATTTCCATTAAATTATGAATGTCACTTCCAGAACTAAGCCGCATGTTCTTGGTCAAAGTTAATAATTGACAATGAGACCAAAGACAAGAAGAATTAATGGTTGCATGGACTATATCTTGTCTGCTTCCATGAGGAACAACAGGTAAGATTTGCCTGAAGTCACTCCCAAGAACAACAACTTTCCCACCAAATGGTTTATCAACACAACTTGAATCAGAAAATCTAAGAACATCTCTAAGTGTTTTGTCTAGAGCCTCAAAGCAAAATCTGTGTACCATTGGAGCTTCATCCCAGATGATTAGCTTTGTTTTCGCCAGCAATTCGGCAATATTAGAATCCTGCCGTATATTACAGGTTGAATCCTCAGTGATCTGAATTGGAATACGAAATCTAGAGTGTGTTGTCCGGCCTCCAGGAAGCAAAAGTGATGCAATCCCGCTAGAAGCAACATTAAGTACAATTTCGCCTTTTGATCTAATGGATGCTGACAATGTATTCCAAATAAATGTTTTTCCTGTACCACCAAAGCCGTATAGAAAAAAGAATCCCCCTGTACCCACTGAAACTGCTGAAATTATCTTGTCATAGACAACTTTTTGCTCATCTGTAAGGGAACTCATTAGTCTTTTATGTTCTTCAACCAAAAACAATCTGTCATACAGTAATTCATCAAGCACTAAGCGATTGTGCATATCAAGCAAAGATGCACCAGTGATGCAGGGGATTGAAGGGTAATCAGAAAGGCATTTTCCATTACTCTGTAGCACTTTATCAATTTCAGCAAGTGTTGTGTTTTTTATTTGTTCTTCAGTAAGATTTGCATCTGTACAAACGTGGAAAACAATGAAAAAATGACATTTGAAAGTACAATTCTAACAGGACTCATGGTACATTATTTTTACCACAAAAGCGGTATATTCAACAGAAAAAAATAATGATAAAAAAATTTATAATGCATACGATATGTTCATAATGAATACCTGGATGTCCTACTGTTGTTCTATGTCGATAAAGAACATCGTCAGAGAGAAATTGCCAACACTTCCCCCAAACATTTTCAGGTCTATTCATTGAGTTACCGAACAACAACAGAGCAAAAAGACGTCTAAGATAAAAAGCTGACTGCCAAGAACTTGCCTCCTTAATTGCATCAATGTATTCATTGTCATCATCCAAAAGTCCAAGAGAATAGCAAGCATCTTTAAATGTTGGAAACATCACCCCATTGATAGTTCTCAAGTCCTCGTAACTTGTGCAACCCGTTTTAAAATTAAGAAGCATTCGAAGATAGGAATCTTCTCCACTATTTGCATAAAAACGATTTATTCTTCCAATTGAGAATCCTTTTTTTCTAGGATGTCATTCTTCACTATTTGCATTATAAACAAAATGAGTTGGATATTCAGCATAAGTAAGATGCCTACCTTATGGAAATATTTTATTTGCATCCATCCAACTCTCAAAAATTGATTGTCTAAACTCCTCCCTTGTCTTTACTTCAGATATTGATGCAGTATCATGACAAACAACGGTCTTTTCATTGGGTAAGTGAAATGGCAATCTCATCACAGGGGGGTTTCTGTAATGAATTTCAAATCCAAATATTCTCCAAGCAGCTTCACATGCGGATACATACCTATCATAAATAAAGAATTATGTTAAATGGAGTCTAGTATAAAAAGTAATACATGCACAGTAATTCAAAAGCTAATGGAGATTAATTTCAGTACCTACAATCATAAAACATTTTAATTTCATCATCTGAATGATGTATAGCAGCAGTAACTCTATCATTTCCTTTATGAATGTATTTAAAAAGATATTTAATAGCACTGGTCTGACAGGTATATTCCACATTAATATGAGCCTGGTACTTTAAAAAGAGTTTTGCATTATAAGGCACAACAAAACGATTATCAAGTTCAACACCATTTTTCTTCGCAACCCTCCCATTATCTCTTCTCTTATAATGAGGGAATCCGTCATCATCAATAATCGTACGGGAACAAAAACCCTTTGGAAATTTCTTTATACACTTTCCCTCCTTCATGCAATGTGACTTGTAATTGTTAGCACCACAGGGACCATGCATCATGTAACTTGTGACAGCAAGAAAGAGAGAAGGATGGGTTTCCTTGTTAGGAATCTCTGCTGAAATCAATCTATCAATATCAAGTCCACTGTTGGGCTTGTTAGAAGGGTGCAAGAACAACAGAATATGAGCATGAGGGAGTCCACGTTTTTGAAATTCAATTGTACAAACATCTGTTACAGTTCAATAAACGATCAAAGGCTGGATTAGAAGACAATAATACATATAGAGCATTTGTGGGTTCCAGTAAAGTTGTAAAAATTGATTTTGCCCATATACTTACATGCATTAACTCTGCCAAGAACATGTTCTTTTTTTAAATCATGGAGCAATTGGTCTAACTTGAACTTGAAAACTCTGCAAAGAATATCAGGTCGATCTTCAACGTTTAAGTTTCTGGCCCTAAGAAACTGTGTAATTTCTGGCCACTTAGGATTGCAGGTAATTGTTATAAAAAGATGAGGATATCCAGCCCAACGGCAGATTGCAAAAGCATCCTTACAATTCTCAGCCATATATCTAGGTCCGCCTGTGAATGAAGAAGGAAGAATAATACGCTTTCTAGTTTTAACAGCTGCATCCTCCCCTTTATCCGATGCATGTATTATATTTTTGTACAACTCTGCCCTTAGTTGATTTTGATTATGGCGAATGAAAATAAGACGGTCATACTCAACCATAGTATAAGCATCAACCAGGAATTGCTGGAATAGTTTTATGGAGTGAAGAAGAATTTGGGACTCCCCTGATCTCATTTGAAGCCTAAACGAAAAGAATTATTTCATGCTAATCGTTGATCTTGGGTTTGTCCTACCACTGGAAATGGAAGCACGCTGGACATCATCGCGATAACCATCCTCTCTACAAGGAAATAACAAAGGATATTGTAAGCCAAGATATAGGGGATGCTTGACATCAATGCACTGCAAAAGTCCGGTTTGTGTCTCCACAATGATGTCTCTGTCACCCATGACGTTGTCTATATCTCCTACAATCAAAGAAGCAACTTCATATACAGAGGGGAGATTATAAACTCTTCCATCGCTACCACGCTTTCGAATAAGCCTCAACTTCACCCCATTGAAGTCATCTTCCTTATAACGGTCTCTAGCATACCGAAAAGATTGCGCAATTCTGTTGTGCTCATCTAGCATTTCCTTCAAAGATCTCACAATACCGGGATCTAGGATGTCTTCGTTGTTTGTGGGACTGCATTTCCAATAACATGTAATCGTAGTAAACTAATTATAATAACACAGATAATACACTTCAATGCACAAAAAATGCGAAAATAAACAAAGAGCAATGCCTTAGAAAATCCAATCTATTGTCAATTTCATTCTCGGTATTGTAGATATAAAGTTGAGCAAATTTTGGAGACGTGTTATCAGGCGGAATAAGGCTTCCCATTAAATGATGAACATGTCCTCCAACTCGAAAACAGTAAGGTCCAGGACCTTCATTTACGGATCTATCAACTTTTGCACCGAAGGAGGTGAAGGCAAAAATCATGTTGTACGTTCGAATATATCGTAAAAAATGACGGCTCCTTATATCTTCATTATTGTGCAGTTGAAGCAATGTATCTGTTCTGGAGTGAACATTAATGGTCTAGCAGGATAGCTAGTATTTGTATCTACGGAGCTTATGGTAAAGATGACAGGCAATGAGAAGTCCTGCACCTTAGGCCAAAGTCCGATGGGATGAACAAGGGGTGTGTGTGTGAGTCACCTGCGGTGGATAGGATGTGCTCTGGGCACAAGTATGTAGGTGAGTTATCAGATCCCCTTCTTTGTTAGCTATAAGGGGTTATATATAGATGAATGCACTAGGAGATTGTGCCCCTAGTGGGTAGTTTGCAGGTGACTTAATGGCATGATGCAATGCTAGTGGGTGGTTATTGCTAGTAGATGGGAGTTAGGAGAGAATGGTGGAATGAGATGCTCCATGTAGTGGGGATAGGAAGTAGGTACCACATAAGTGGTCCACAACATAAGCCCCCCAGCCTGGCATTGCGCATAGTCGAAATGCCGGGGTAAAAGTAAAGCCCCTGTGCCTATCAAAGAATGTTTAGTGTTGTGAAAAGGATATGAATGCCGGGAAAACCCAGCTTGCGAATGCTTCCGAGTTCCAAGTTGCTTTATCGTGTTGCTCGTTGGTTGTAGTCGTCTCCGGGTTTGTAATTGCTTCTGAGTTTGAAGCTGAGTAAAGTGTGAGAACCCTATATGATTATGTCTTGCGCGCTGATTAGGATCTTTCAGAATCAAATGTTCAATAATTTTCCTGCTTCCAATTAGGAAAAAGAAGGGTGCCCAAAGGTCTTTTAGTAAACCATTTCTATCCCGGAGGACCGGTCTTCTTTTAATAAACCATTTTTATCCCGGAGGACCGGTCTTCTTTTAATAAACCATTTTTATCCCGAAGGGCCAGTCTTTTTTTATTAAGCCATTTTTATCCCGGAGGGCCGGTCTTCTTTTGGCGGCAATGGACTTTTGTTTCCCGCTTCCGAGTAGGAATTGAACGGGTGCCCAAGAGGCCATTAAAGGCGGCACGGGACTCTCTTCCCGCTTCCGAGTAGGAATTGAATGGGTGCCCAAGAGGCCATTTAAGGCGGCAAGGGACTATATCTTCCCGCTTCCGAGTAGGAATTGAACGGGTGCCCAAGAGGCCAATTAAGGCGGCAAAGGACTTTGTTTTCCCGTTTCCGAGTAGGAATTGAACGGCTACCCAAGAGGCCAATTAAGGCGGCAAGGGACTTTGTTTTCCCGTTTCCGAGTAGAAATTGAACGGTTGCCCAAGAGGCCAATTAAGGCGGCAAGGGACTTTGTTTTCCCGTTTCCGAGTAGGAATTGAACGGCTGCCCAAGAGGCCAATTAAGGCGGCAAGGGACTTTTATTTGTAGCCGGATTATGATTGCTTTATTCGTGACTTATGATGCTGGTAGATATGTTTCCCCCTGGTTACTCGCAGGTTGTCCAATGACCTTTATTTTCTAGCATTAGAGTAGAGGTGCAATTGATTAGTGTTCCGAGTTCCGCTCTATGCAAGGACCTGTATGAAGCTTTCTTGTAACCATATATGGCGGATTACCCAACAACTTTCATTTTCTAACATTGGAGTAGTGGTACAATTTAGTTGGGGTTCCGAGTTCCTCCAGTCTAGTGATCTTGTCAAAGAATAATCTCCTTGTGATCTTGTTAAAGGATAATCCTGCTACAAAAAACATCTTAAAGGAAATGACTATATCTTCTTTGTAAGAACCCGCACCGTTAATTAAGGTATTTAATTAATTAATTATGCAAAATTAGAAAATGATTCCGTAATTGACCCTAATAATTATTATGAGGCTTTAATAATTATAGTAAGTGAGTAATAATGCTGAAAGTCACTTTTCGGAAGAAAAGTGCAGATACCGGTTCTGCTAGTCGGTATAAATGCGTACCGAAAAAAGTATCCCAGAAAATTATAATAAGTGCATGTTAATTACTAGAATAATATGTAGGACTTGTAAAACGAGTTTCAAGTCCAGATAATGAGAACTGGTGCTAGAAACCAGTACTGGCTTTGAAAAGCGCGTACTGGAAAGATGCTCAGAAAATTACGAAAAAATATGATAATTCTTAGAAAAATGTCTAGTTTCAGAATCCAAAGTTTGGGATTAAAATGCTAAGCGTAGCAATTAAAGATAATACTGTGTGATTAAGTGGCTTGGGCTATAAATACCCTTTGTAAGGGCACAAAACCCTAGAAAATAGTTTCTCTACGTGGGTGAGGGGCTGGTCAGCTGCTGGTTCCACTGATACATTGCTTCACCACCATTTTGTGAGCTTTGTGACCTCTCTTCCTCCTTTTCTCTTCACTTTGTACCTTGGGTGAGTGGGAGAGATCATTGTGAGTGTGAAAGGAGCTCTTTTCCTGAGTGTGGTGGCTGTGTGGAGGCTGTTTGGAGTCTGGAATGCCTTGTGGGAGTGTGTGAGCTTCTTCCTTGAGTTGTTGGAGCTCCAAGGAGCAACCTTTGTGAAGAAAGGACCCTACTTGGTGTGTATTTTCGTGTTCTGTGAGAGACAGAACCTTGGAGCTGTTGTGTGAGCTCAAAGAGCACCCTTTTTCTGAGTTTGAGCTTTGGTAAGCCTTGTCACCTTTGATCATGAGTTTAATGCTTAAAAATGAAATCTTGATGCATGTTAAGGATTAAAGATGATAACTTGTTGTTGGGTAATGTTGAACACACCTAGAAATGCATGTTTAGGTGCTTTAAATCGGTAAAAACCCAACCTTGGAAGGATATCTTCACGAAATGCAGTTTCTGCATTCTGTCGTGAAATATTCGGATATGTGCCCGAATAATATCCGGATATTGGATATCCGGATATGGGATTTGGACATCCGGATATTAGATATCCGGATATGGGATTCTGGATATCCGGATATTGCCTATATGGTCCCGAGGAATATCCGGATATTCTGGGAATTCGTAGAACAGTAGCTGTGTTGTGTGTACAGTAGGCTATTGGGGGTTTGTGGACCCTAGATTGATGAAGTTGAACTTCTGTAATTAATGAACTAAGTCAGAATCGTTGTGATTAAGGACTTATGGCTTGGTATGGAGCCTTAAGAAGTAAAACGTAAGGAGAGGCGTTGTCTTTAAGTTATATGCTTGTGTTGCATTATTATTGATATAGTATTGGTCCATAACAGATTGTGAATCTGTTGTGTTTGGACTTTGAGTTGTGGACTCTTGGCTTTTGGAGTTAGCTTGCAAGGTAAGTTTTCGTGTCCTCGGTTTAGCCATGTTGTGGTTCCACCATGTCCCATGGGGGTATGGTTTATGCATGCTGTGTACATGCTTTTGGATATTTGATATGTTGATTGAACTTTACATGTAATGGCTTTTAATATGCATGTGTTGTTTCATCTTGACGGGAAGCCTGAGTATGTAGCGCCATACAAGACGGTGTACCGGGGTGAATGCAAGTGGTACTTGCACGGTGTGTAGGTGATAGACGTATACCTGCACTGTCTCTGGCCAGTAGATTAGTATTGACACACATGACATGATTATCTGCTGCATTGCATTGTTTTAGAAATGATAAATGATAAACTGTTTTTGAACTTATATTGCACATGTAAGTGAGCTTGGGGTGGAAGATCCTTGAGGACTCACTGACTTACTGAGATTTCTAGATTAGAGATCTTACCCCACGTTTGGGGAATGCTTATTTCAGGATCAGGTAGTATGGGTACTGATGCCTCAGGCGGCAGGAGGCCGGAGCTTAGCTGATTATGTTGTTTCTGCTTATTTGTTAGCATGACTGGATACTGATGCTAATTATGTTTTATGCCTTTTATAATTATGTTGTTGTTGAGATTGATGTTGGGCATGTTGCCTTATTTGAGTGAGCATGGGGATTGTCCATGACACTTTCTGTTAGTACTTTTAGATTGGAGTTGTATAAACTGTTAGATGGTCTGGTCTACGTTGTTGTAGTTCCGTAACTAGAGCCACACTTATATTATCTATGTTATGAGGTATTTCAGTTAGCTGTTTTATTGCAATTACATACAGGCGATGTTTTATTAATTGATTATTAAGCAAGCTGGTAATGTTAATGGCATCATAATTGAAAAGAAAAAGTAATTCCGCATTTTTAATTAAGCGCAGCTTAATACGATATTATGA